TAGTGAGGTTGGCCCAGGATTGGGCAGTGTATCGTTCTGCTGTACATAAGGTTGCTATGAGTCGGTACCAACTCGATTGGCACCTAACAACAATTCTTTGCCTATTTAAAACTTTGGGTGATTTGTATTTTTCTGAAAGTTAATTTATTCTAAATACTAATCAGGTTGTCAAGGGGCTCTGGCAGCTTTGTGGTTATAGTTGGGCTGCTAATTTCAAGGTCAGCAGTTCAAAAATATCAGCTGTTCCTTAGGAGAAAGATGAGGCTTTCTGCTCCAGTAAAGATTTGTAGCCTCAGAAGCCCTATGCAGGGTCGCTATGAGTCAGAACCAACTCCACGGCAATACTACCACCACCACAAACCTTTGTCAGTTATAATCAGCACTTAACAGTATTTTCTCCCAGTCTGAGTTCAGCTTTTCAGTTTGTGTTTTTATGTCCATGGTGTTTTCCTTTTATCAGTTTTCTCCCTTTATAGTTTTTCTGCTTTTCATAACTGTGAAATGCTTGTTAATCATACACCATTTTCTTCCATGAACTTTTGTTTTCACTTCTGGGTCTTTAATCAACTTAGACTTTCTGCAAAGAAGGCTGTTGGAATTTTGATAGGGACTGTGGTGTGAATCTATAGAGTACTTTCTGGGTAGTATATAGACAACAAAGTTAAGTCTTCTGATCAGTGAACATGGAATATCCTTTCATTTACTTAGGTTCTCTTTAACCTCTTTCAGTAATGTTTTATAATTTTCATTGTACACATATTTCACTTTCTTGGTTAAATTTAATACCAGGCATTTTATTTACTAAGATGATATTATAAGCGGAATTGTTTCCTTAACTTCCTTTTCAGAATGCTCATTGCTAATATATAGAAACCCAACTAATTTGAATTTATATAATGTACAAATTAGTAAAGAAAAATATTGGCTTCCTTAAATGGGTAAAATAGAGCACATCACAAAATAAATGTTTACTCATAGTAGTAAATTTTTAAATTTTGGATTGAATATTAATACTATGAAAATTGTGTTTCTAACAGGTAATCCACCTCGAAGACCTAAGTCTGTACTTCCTCGCGATTTAGGCAATTTGGACAAGGAACAAGTAAATCTCTTTATATTTTTATATATTGAAAGATTAATCTGGTTTGAAATGAAGTACTTAAATTTCTAAAGCACACTTAACCCAAACGCTACTAGTCATAGGATCCCATGATGTGAAAATTTGCTTTGTTCTTTAGGATAGATGAGAAAAGTCTTATCTTTATAGGCTACCTTGCCCAGAGAACCATTTGATCCAATGATATTTCCAGACCCTGAATATAAAGAAGATGAAGAGGAAATTCACGAAGAAATCAGTCATCCTGATGGAAAGGTTAAATTTTTGTTGTTTTTTTTTTAAATAACAAATGCTATTTAGAAAATAAGTATGGGTTAAAATTAAGTGGAAACCTTTAAATTCTCAAATAATTAAGACTGTTAATGAGGGTTAGGAACCTCATGTTCTTGAAGTACATTGGAGTATATGACCTAGCCTTGAATCTTTGTACTCCTAAAAATGCTCACTGTACAACATGCGTTCTTTCTTGTTTAGAGGTGTGGCAATAGGAGGACCACAGTCACCTTTACCTGTTAGGCTAAGCCGCCTTTAGCAGTTCTTGGCACTTTACAAATGCCTCAGTTCATACTAAGCATTAACTTTCTTGAAGACATTTTCATATTTATCCTGGTTCATATGTCTTTCTCTCTCTAGACTGCACCATCGTATTCTTGTTCTTAGCAGCTTTTGAATGGGAAAGCTGCCTGACTAGTTGTTCCATGTGTTAAGTGCCATCGAGTCAGGTCTGACTCATGGTGACCCTGTATAGGGTTTCTGAGGAGTTACTGGTGAACTTGAACCACCAATCTTATGGTTCAAAGCAAACTTGTGGTCCAGCGCCTTATCCTGCAGGGCTATACCAGGACTCCAGTTGTTCCAGGTAGAAGAGTAGAATGAAAAGGCAAGGGAGCTTACACAAGGCTTGTCAGAGGAGTAGTGGTGAGGGAATTTCTTCCTTAGATTCATAGAAACTTACTTTTTCAAATACCCGAATTTGATTCATTTAAATTGAAATCACAAGGCCAAAATTGGATAAAGAATAGTTAAAAAGGAAGGAGTTAAGCTTTTCCTGTACAAATTCTAGTTTTCTGTTTCAGAAAAATTCTAGCTGAAAATGACCAGTTTTTGACCTTTAATGAAGTAAAGGACCTGGGAACAGTCACCAGTGGCTTTTGGATAGATATATCAAGCTGTGTACACAGCAGCATCTATAAAATATTCTTGTCAGAAGAATTCCATGTGAATTTAATCCACTCTCTGGATCTAACTGCTAGTATTTTTGAGAAATGCAGGAGGTACCAGAACATGTTACACGGCATGGGAAACCCGACAGACTTATGACCCAGTTCCATCTAGAAATAATTGGCATTATGAAGGGGCAGGTAGGGGTTGGATGGGAACTTTTATTAAAGATTTAAGGACCACACCAACCAAGTGTTGTATATGGACCTTGTATCATCGGATTCAGAAAAATCAACTGTAAAAAGCTGGGGGGAAGATGGAGAGGGACACAACGTAGTCATTTTGTGATCAAGGAATTAGTTTAAGTGTATGATTTTGGTTAAAGATCCTTCCATTCAAGGTATCTATTCAAGTTTTTATAGGTGAAGTGATGTCTACAAATTTTTTTTTTTTTTTATTGTGAATTATGTGATAGTTTACATGGGGAGAACATTAGCTTTACATTCGTCCTATCGTATATCGTTTCATTGCCATGGTTACAATCCCTTCCATGCAACATCAACCAACCAGAGGGTATTTACAATTTGGTTTTAGAAAGTCTGTCAAAGGGAAGTAAGTGACATAAGAATGGTAATGTGTTAGAACTTGAAGTTGATTGTTGGAAACTTATTACAGTTTTCTTCTTTTTGAGAAATGTTTTACCTTTCAATTAAAAGAGAATTAAGAGCTATTTTTGCGACTTGGTTAATCTTGGTCTGTTTGTGTTTTTTTTTCAGGTAGAAAAGGTTTTTAAGAATGGATGCCGTGTTATATTATTTCCAAATGGCACTCGGAAAGAAGTGAGTGCCGACGGGAAGACATTCACTGTCACTTTCTTTAACGGTGATGTGAAGCAGGTCATGCCAGACGAGAGAGTGGTAGGTTTCTGGAGGAGGCTTTACTGTGTAGTCAGGCGTCTCAGACAAGCTACAGTGGCTCTTTGTCTTTGCAGATCTACTACTATGCTGCTACCCAGACCACTCACACTACTTACCCAGAGGGACTCCAAGTGTTACATTTCTCAAGTGGACAGATAGGTAAGAGTTGGTTTCCCCTTTCTTTATTAAATTCTGCCCTTCCTTTAAAAAATAATTACAGTAAACTTTTTTAAACAGAAAAACATTTTCCAGACGGAAGAAAAGAAATCACATTTCCTGATCAGACTATTAAAAACTTATTTGCTGATGGACAAGAAGAAAGCATTTTTCCAGATGGTACAATTGTCAGAGTACAGCGGTAAGATAGCTATTCAGATTTCATTTTAAGATCCAACTTTTATTACTAAATGGATTTTTAAAAATATAAAACGTTTAAAATTTCAGTGACAAATAGGAAACAAACCTGATACTTTGAGGACGGGTGAGGAAGTTTAGAATTTGTGCTGTGTTTATTCCTGATCATTATTTTGCTATGAGATAGTTTTGTCTTTGTCATTAGGCAATTAAAAGGGAATCTATTAAGTATTCCCGACTTACGGTGTGGCACAGTAGGATCAGCATTGGACTGCAAACTACAAGGTCGGCAGTTCAAACCCACCAGCTGCTTTTAAGAACACTATCTAAAGTATTCCAGGAAAGGGCAAATATTTCTTTAGACATAAACCTGGTGAAATCTGGAAACAGTGCATGAGATAGTCTTGTCCAAACACTGTCTCTATTAGACTGTCTTCTCTAAATCTGGAGATTCTCCATCTCCCTGCCACCAGCCTGATCAATACTTCACTTACCCGACGGCTTCTCCAATCCAATTCTCTCAAATTAGCAATGTTTTAGAAAAATCCTGTAAGTTTTACATTTCTTGAAGGTACAGACTTCTTAAGTGACTTCAGTCTGTGATAAATTGCTTGTTAGCTCCACAGTTTTCATTTATGGTGGTGGGCCAACGGGGCCAGTTTGTGCCTTCCTTTCCTAGAGTGTGACAATGCTGAAGTACCCACTAATTTGAATACAACTGTTTTTAAAGGAGCTCTGGTAGCGTAGTGGTTACAAATTGGGCCGCGAAGCGTAGTGGTTACAAATTGGGCTGCGAACCTTAAGGTCAGCAGTTCGAAACTACCAGTTGTTCCGTGGGATAAAGATTTACAGCCTCGGAAATGCTGTACAGGGTCGCTATGAGTCAGAACCGACTCCATGGCACATAACAACAAAATGTTTTTAATAGAATTCTATAACTGACCCCAATAGTACTAAGTAATTTAGAAACTTCACTTTTTTTTCTTAACATGGCCTGGGACTTTATCTGGTACTCAACCAAGTAAGTAGCAATTTGTTAAAAAATTAAATGAAAAACTTATGTGTACACTACACTATGAGTAGAGTCATGGTGTGGCACTTTAGGATAAGCACTGGACTGCTAACTGCAAAGCCGGCTGAAACCCACCAGCTGTTCCTTGGAAACCCTATATGAGGGTTGCTGCTATAAGTTGGAACCAACTTGACATCACTTACCAACACCACTTTGAGTGATTTAAGAAACATTTCAAGTTCTTTTTCACTCTTATGCTAAAATTTTCTATTTTAAACTGTCTTTTAATAATATATTATACTTCGGCAATTTCCAGATACTTTATTAATTCATTTAAGGCTTTTTACTTGTAACTGTGGCTCTCGAACTAACAGAGACTGCTGGGTCTCACCCAGTAATTTGCATTGTTTAAAGTGCTGGTTTCTGAGGAGCAGGTGATGGGTTTGAACATCTGACCTCTGTGTTTAGCAGTCCAGTGCTTCCCCTGCAAAGCCACACCACGTTCTTATGGGGTGATGCTAACACTGTAAACATAAGGACTGTCCTTTGTAATACAGTGGTTCTCAGAATATAGCTTTTGAGTTAAACACTTTTGTGAGAATACCAAAATACAAAGAGCCAACCACCCTCTATAGGGTTTCCAAGGAGCACCTGGTGGGTTTGAACTGCCGACCTTGTTGCTTAAGTGTTGTCGAGTTGGTTTCAACTCACAGCCACCCCATGTAGGATTTCCAAACCGACCCTGTGTTCCAGTGCTTTAACCCACAATGCTATACAGGGCTCCAAATCTATCCCTACACATTATTTATGTATTTTGTTCAGCTTGAATATTTCATAGCAAACAGTCAACTTTGTACATTAACTCTTTTTATATTCTGCTTCTTTGTTCCATTGCTGCAAAACATCTGCTGATGGTAAAGTAAATTGATTAAAACAAGATTTTCATGGGGCCTTGTACACAAGGGGACTTCTAAAGGTTTATAGGAAAATACAATGAAAAGGGAATGCACTTTTTCCATGAACCTTTGAAGCCCCTTGTGTCTCTATAAGAAATAATTGCCAAAATGAAAAGGCTACTTTTAGATCATTTAGCTGTTGTGTATTTTAAATACATTAAAATCTATTTTAAATCTACAGTGATGGCAACAAAATCATAGAATTTAATAATGGTCAAAGAGAACTACATACCGCCCAATTCAAGAGACGGGACTATCCAGACGGCACTGTTAAAACTGTGTATGCAAATGGTCATCAAGAAACAAAATACACATCTGGTCGAGTGAGAGTTAAAGACAAAGATGGCAACGTTCTAATGGATACAAAACTGTAATGATGCCTGGTTAATCATGAATTAACACTAACTTCATTTTCTTGTTAAAAATGTGTCTTTCCTGTGACTTATTTATAGACTGTGTGTGTGTATACAAATGATAAAGATTATGTTTGCACTTTGAAAGTTCATTGCTTCATTGACAGCTTTCATTTATAATTCACACCTACCTGTCTTTCTTCAGTTAGACTCATGTCTAGGGAAAACATTAGTTATACAAAAGGCACATCAACCACAGATGTACTTGTAGAGAGTATTTATGCAAGGAGTTAAATGAATCTCTCTAGCCAGAACCCATGATATACTACAGAGTATTTCACTGTAATAGAATGGGAGGTTAAAACAATGACTAGAATGTGTCAAAGAGTATAACAGGTATTAAGAGTTCATTCTTGAGTACAATCGTATTGTGAGGAGAAAGCAATTTGTATAACTAGAGTGTCAACAAGTTTTGGGACATTTTGGAGAGTGAAGGGTGAATACCCAGTGTTAACTGATGAATGTCAACCAAGTACCTTCATATTTTCACTTGTAAGATTGTGGTAGGTCAGTGGAAGGAAGGCAGATGTCCGATAGAGAAAGTCAAGTCTCTTACATGTATACCCATCCTATAGATTGGTCTAGATAGAGCTTGCTAATGCAATATGACTTAAGTGTTGATAAAGTTCAGTTAAAACACTTAAGTAGTAGTTCTAGGTGCAATTAAGAACGGAATATAACAAAACTTAAATTTTTCATGGCTTATTTTGTTCTGAATTTTGTTACTTCAGAATTGAGAAATATTTAAAGTCTCTCTCTGCTCATATAAAAATACAAGGGGGCTTCAAAACATTTCTGGAAAAATCCCATCATCTTTAAGTTCCATTTTTTTCCAAGAATGTTTTGAAGCCCCCTTGTAAAACAGAATATATAAGTCACAGACTATGAGAAGATATGTGCAACATGAATTTATGACCGTCTTAAGATAAAGCAGCGATATCCTCACTCGGTACTGAATCTCAGTGCCTGCACATACAACAGTGAGATACCTTTCATGCTTCTTTAGTACTGTTGAGTCAGGTCTGACCCACAGTGACTCTGTATAGGGTTTCCAAGGAGTGCCTAGTGAGCTTGAACCACCGATCTCATGGTTCAAACCAACTTTGCAGCCTAGCACATTAACCCACAGCACCGATTATATGCTAGTGGCATATAATTAGAAATACTGTCTTAGTGCAGCACTGGACTGCTAACCAAGAGGTTGGTGGTTCAGACTCACATGAGGTGGAACCGACTTGACAGCACCAGCAATGGTCTGGCAACACCAAGTGTTGGCAAGGAATGCAGACTACTGATGGCACTGTTGTAAATGGCTTCTTAGAAAACTGCAAGCAGCTTAAATACCTAACCGCAGAATAAATTATAGTATATGCAGAGATGAATAGAGCAGTGAAAGGAAATAGAGCTACGTATACCAACGTATATCAAACAGCACGACTAAAGTGCAAAAGTAACTGGGATACTACATGCATTCAAAATATTAGCAATATTAACATATTTCTTAAACTGGATATACATTAGATATAAAAGGAACTAAAATGTTTTTTCAAGTGCCTAAAGTACTTCAGTTTCAAATCATAATAAAATAAAACAAAATGTTTGAAAGCAATTATTTATTAACTATTTTCAGATTATTTTTCAAACAATTCTTAACAGTTCAACATCTAAGAAAAAAAAAACTATTACAGAACAAATAAACTGAAAAGATCTAATTACAACAAAACTTTCTTCTGTACTGTGTACAATATACCTGGAAAAAAAAAAAGTGTTATTTTAAACCTTAGTTAATGTTCATACCTAGTTGAAGTACCCATTAGATGTATGTGATTGAAGAAGAAGATAAAGTCTTAGCAGATGAGCTACCTACGTTATTATTGGGACAGGACTGTATCTGTGTTTAAATTAAATGGGTCATGGCCCCTGCTCTCTTCTGTTTATCCCCATACTAGCTGGCACCATGAGAGCCACCATTGCCGCTGGTGCTCATTCAATATAAGGTGAGAAGCAAGCAGGAAGAGAGCGTCTTGTGGAACGACTTGTGGTGCTTTTCTGGAGACCTCAGCATTAATCTTTGTTCTGTAAGTCACATGCTTTATGCTGACTATAAAGGGGACCAAAAATTGAAGTCTACTCACATCATTCATCTTTGTCTGCAAGCCCCATTTCTACTAAGGACATATGGACTGGGTATTGTTCATCTTCATATAACATCACTGTTTGTTCTGGTGCCTGAGTCTAAAATGAAAAGATTATTGTTGTCAAGAAAATACAATAATGTCCTTTTAAACTTCTCTCTTCTAAGCCTAGCCATTCCTCAAAGAGGGAAAAGGCATATCCTAGGTTTATTTCTAATGCAAAGGGTACACTGCTAGCTCAGTGGTAGGAAGGACTCTTACCTGAGGGAGATGTGTGTACCTCATGTGCAGCCATTACCTGTCAGTCGCAGCCTGCATGCGGCTATGATGCTGAGCAGGGTTCAGTGATGTGTCTAGACTGAGGTGGACCAGGAAGAAAGGCCTGCTGATTAACTTTTGGAAATCAGTCAGTGAAAGTCCTAGGAACCTAACTGGCCATGATCACGAGGATCGTTGTTTCAGTGCATGGGGTCACCATGAGGTGGGCTAACTTAGTGTCAGTTTTCAATGACAGCATATTGGAAAGGGCATCTGTGATGGTTCCTACTAAACCATATTCTTCCCAATCTGCTCTAGTTACATAGTTAACTCCTCCCCCCAAGGGGTGTGCTTAACAAAACTGGTTAAGTCAGTTCCAACTCATGGTGACTATATGTGTGTCAGAATTCTAGCACTGGTGTTTCAACACTGGTGTCTCTATGACTTGCGTTTCAGAAGTAGATCGGCAAGAGAGGTGGAAAGATGGCAGATTAGGATCCGAGAGGTGGTATGGAACGTCTATTTCTTTAACAAAGATACCGATAACCAAAGCGACAGATGGAGATGACACTTCTGGAACTCTGAGCTTCAGATGAAGAGAGAGAGAAGTGGACTGAATGCTTATTAGGAGAGAGAGCTGAGCAGACACAGCAAAAAAAAAAGGAGAGATCGGTGGTGTGACCTGCGGTCAGACAGGTGTCGCTGGTAGCTTGAGTTTTGTGAGCAGCACCCGAGACAACATACAGGTACCACTCAAGAAACAGTAGCAGAACAGATGAGAAAACAGAATCCTTCATATTATACCTACAAGAGACACACCTTACACACAAAAACAAAAATAGATTAAAAATCAAAGGATGGAAAAAATATGTCAAGCTAAGTGGCAATAAGGAGTCCTGGTGTGGCGAGGTGGGTTAATGCGTCAAAGTGAAAAGTGGTTTGAGCTGCAAGGTCGGTGGTTCAAGCTCACCAACTGCTCCTTGGAAATCCTTATACAAGGTCACTATGGGTCAGAATCGACTTGATGGCACTTCACAACAACAACAACAACGGCAATAAAAAAGAAAACAGGAGTAGCAATACTGACTTCTGATAAAGTAGACTTTAAGGCAAAAACCAGCATGAGACAAAAAAGGACACTATCTCCTGATTAAAGGGTCAGTTGAACAAGAGGACATAACCGTATCTATGGTCCCAATGAGAGAGCCTCAAAAGTATGTAACTGAAGAAAGAAACCGACAATTGTACAGTAACAGCTCAGTGACGTAAAGTTAGTTCTGACTCACAGCAACCCTGTAGAGGGTTTCCAAGAAAATGGTGGATCTGAACCTTGGATGTTGCCGTCCAGTGCTTATTCTACAGTGCCACAACAGGACTCTACAATAGCAGTAGGAGATTTTAATAGACCATGTTTAATGAAGGACAGAACAGCTAGTAAAACTCAACGAAGACACATAAGAACTAAACAATGCAATCAAGCAACATGACCTCATAGATTTATAGAGCACTCAATCCAACAAGAGCACCATACACATTCATTTCCAGTGCTCGTGGAATGTTCTCCACAACAGAGCCAAAATGCAAGCCTCAACCAATTTTAAACCATAAAAATACAAAATACCTCTTCCGATCACAATGCTGTAAAATTGGAAATCAATAGGAAGATGAAGGAAACAAAATCAAATAACAGAAATTGAGTAACACCCTGCTTAAAAGATAGTGGATAATAGAACAAATGAAAAATGAAAAAAATCCTTGAATAAATGAGAATGAAAATTTGTTAAGTTCTATCGAGTCAGTTCTGACTCTCAGTGACCCTAGGGTTTCCAAGGAGCAGCTGGTGAGTTTGAACTGCCGACCTTCTGTTTCAAGGTCCAGTGCTGATCCTACAGTGCCACACTTTGTTGTTGTTGTTGTTAAGTGCCGTCGAGTCGGGTCCGACCCATAGCGACCCTGTACAGTGCCACACTAACAGAATGAAAATACAATATACTGAAACCTTTGGGACACAGCAGAACAGTACTTAGTGGGCAATTTATAGTAATAAATGCACCTATCAAAATAAAAAACAAAACATAATCAACACATAACATCTCCAGCAACTAGAAAATGGCTAGCAAAGTAAGCATAGAGTCAACAAGAAACAAAAGAGATCAGAGCAGAAACATGAATTAGAAAACAGATGAACAATAGATAAGAAGTTGGCTCGTTGAAAGGATTAGTAAAACTGACCAATCACTGGCAAATCTAACATAAGAAAAGGAGAAGATGCAGATTAACATGCATAAGGAACAATATGGGTAACATCACAACAGAACCAATGGAAAAAAAAATGCTAATAGAAATGCTATGAAGAATTATAATCCAAAAATTAGAAAATACACAAGAAATGAATATTTTTAGAAAAACACGACCAACCTAAACAGGGTAACACAGAAAATTTGAACAGACCAATAACAAAAGAAGAAACTGATCAGGTAATTTAAAAACTACTAACAAAAGATACCCAAGCCATGATATTTTCAATAACCTCATATGCATGTGAAAGCTGGACAGTGAATAAGGAAGACCGTAGAAGAATTGATGCTTTTGAGCTATGGTGTTGGAGCACAATACTAAAAGTACCATGGGGCTGCCAAAAGAACCAATAGATCCATTTTGGAAAAAGTACTGCCAGAGTGCTTCTTAGAGGCCAAGATGGCCAAACTTCATCTCTCATACTTTGGACATATTGTCAGGAGGGACCAGTCACTGGAGAAGGAGAACATGTTTGGTAAGGTGGAGGGTCAGAGAAAAAGAGGAAGACCCTCAGCGAGATGGATTGGCCAAGTGGCAGCATCAATGGGCTTAAGCATGGCAACAATAGTGAGGTTGGCCCAGGATTGGGCAGTGTTTCGTTCTGCTGTACATAAGGTCGTTATGAATCGATGGCACCTCAAAACAACAAAAGATCCAAGTCCAGACAGCTTTACTGGTGAATTCTATCAAGCATGTAGAGAAGTGGTGAGAACAGTTTTTCTCACATTATTCCAAAACATAGAAAAGGATAGAAAACTACTTATTACATTTTATGAAGGAAGCCTAACCCTCACACAATTACCAGGCAAAACCAAGAATATTAGACCAATGTCATTCATGAACATAGATGTAAAAATGGTGTGTTGTGAAGTGCTGTAGAGTCAACCTTATGGTTCGAACCTAGAAGTTTAAAGAACATCAATAAACAACTAGGGACAAACTTAGGAGCTGTAATACATGCCAGAAATATGTGATCAAACATGACTAAAAATACACTAATAGCAGAAGACAAAACAGATGACTGGGACCTCCTAAAAATTAGACATTTATATGAATCAAAAGATTTCACCAAGAGTAAAAAGTGAGCCAACAGACTGGAAAAATTTTTTGCAACAACATTATCAGACAAGGCACTGATCTCTAAAATTTATAGAATACTACAACACCTACAAACTAACAACCCAATTGAAAAATGGGCACAGGACATAGACACATTTCACCAAAGAAGGCATTCAGGCAGTTAAACAAACACGTAGGAATGTTGACGATCGTTAGCCATTAGAGAGATGCAGATCTTAACAACAATGCGATATAATCTCACCCCAGCATTAACAGCAAGGTCCAAAATACCAGAAAACAGCAAATATTGGTAAGGGTGTGGGGAGTCTGGCACTCTCATATATTGCTGGTGTTGCTGTAAAATGTGGAAAATGATAGGCGTTTCTACTGAAAGGTGGAAACAGAAATACCATGTCATCTAGCAATCCCTCTACCTGGTATATGTCCACTAGAAATAAAAGCCAGGACACGAGCAGACACATGCACACCGGTGTGCATTTGGTGCACTAGTCACCATAGCAAAAAGATGGGAGATAGCCTAAATGCTCGTCAATGGAAGAATGGGTAAACAAACTTGGGTGCGTACACACAATAGTATACTTTCGCAACTCTGAAGAAAAGTGATGAATCTGGAAAAGACCTCATAACTTGGATGAACCTGAATGACTGTATGTTGAGTGACAGAAATCAATCATAAAAGGACAAATATTGTATGAGACTACAATTGTAAAACCTCAAGGTTTTCATACTGAAAGAAACATTCTTTGACGGTTCCCAGGTGTGGTGTGGGAGGGAAGGGGAATAATTCGCTGTCTATAGGGTAGACACATGTTAACTTGGGTGACAGGGAGGGCAGTATACAACTGGCAGAATAATGATGAAGATGGTCTAGACACAGGAAGGTATTATGCAAGGACTAAAGGAGATAAAGGTAAACAGTGATAGATACACAACCTTCTCATAACAGTGTAGACACATGAACAGAGACTGGCTGAATGAGTGTGAAAGAAAGAGTGGGATATATATATATAATTCCACAAATATATGCGTTTGAAAGAGGGTATTTCTACACGAGGATCTAAAAAGAGAAAATGGGACAGCTGTGGTTGCATGGAAGGGATTTCAGTTGTTGAGATGAAACACGGTGTGATTTGTTGAATGTAAAACTGATGATTTTGTCTGTACACCTTCACTCAAAAAAAAAAGATTTGTCAGAACTTCCTCTCTTCCAGTCCTGCTCTGATGGAGTCATGAGCACACAGTACCACGCAGACTGCAAGACTTTCCTGGACAGAGCCAAAGGCTCCAACACTACCATCCCTGTTAAAATTCTTCTGTACTGTAATCTTAAAGCATTATTCCTTTTTGCATCAATTGACCAAATTATGAATGTTATATTTTGAAAGTTATTCAAAGATCTAGCTACAAAGCTAAGTAAAATATTGTTACTAGGCTTCTAATTCATACATGCACAGGTAAATACCA